TTCAGGCATAAACATCTGTCGGAACAGGAGGCTCATTACATGAATGCTACTTACGATCTCTCTGAGTTCATAGGCAAACAAGAGGATCTTCACTATAGGTATCACCACTAATATAAAAACACACAGGTTATTATTTGAGCGGCTAGAATCAATCTTCACACTATAAGCAAAAACGAGCGCACGCTAATATTCGAAACTACTGAGATGAATCCACATGAGGCACAGCACTACCAAACACAACAAAGTCAGGTGTGTGCCCTTCTTGAACCACATAGTAACCCACATAAGAAAGTACACATTCTCCCTCGCTACGATCCATAAACCGAAACAGGAAGTGTTCTTGAGCCGCAGAGATAAGCATGACAATCAAGAGCGGAGGGACTGTAGAGCAGTATTGTCAGACTGCGGTGACCTCCCTCGGGGAAACTACGCGCCCACCAGGACTGGCAACGCGGCCTCCACCTCCCCGTTCAAAAACGGATCCCGATGCCGCTTGGACGGGTGGCACTATGGCCCATTTCAGACGGGCTGCTGCTTCACCTGATGGACGTATAAAGAAGCAACAAGAGAATATGGTACACCGCAAATATCGTCACGCTGTCACTTCAGAGCCCCACTTACTCGCAGCGCCATAATGAACCTCTCTGTCAAAGTTATAGTACCTCCACTGAGCTCGGGATATTAATAGGCAGGTGCAGTACACGACTATTTCTTTGTGATTAGAAAGTTTAACGGATGGATTATATACTGCGCACACAACTGTTTTTTATACCTTATGTTTTAGCAATACATTGGTAACACTGGCAATGTAAGTTAATCAATATCCATCATTTCCACTTCTTTAATAATTAATCGATATGAACTAAAACAACACATCAATATCAGGTGTATATTTGTATATTCACTTTTTACTTATCATAGTTTAATTAAATAATTCAGCCCAAATATCTAAATTTTTATACTTGTAATTCGTAATTATTTAGGCTTTTTTCACCTTTGCTCTACATGTCCCCCTGTGCTGCTGTGGCAAATTTGCTTATGATCGCACAGAGGGATCCAACCTAAGCAGAAACCTCTTATCTACAACGCCTATTCTATGAGATTTCCATTGATGGAACTAGCACACTACCCAATTTGTCAACCACTATTACTAGCTGTATCCCCAACCTTTTTTCCTTGAAGCCGCGACCCCTCTTACTATCATCCTTACTCAACCTAGACGACCCTGATTAACATGACATCCACACTTTAATACCTATACACAAACATAAAATACACTAAATTTTTGGCATTCAGAACCTGTACTAATGCAAGCCAAACACGTGAACTCAGTTAACTGCAAGATATATTCGTGACCATAGTTAGGAAGTCAGTCCTGGTCCAGTATGCAACTTGTACAGTGTGATGTAGAAACTTGAAGCCACCAGTGCACATCCACTGAGAATGGACTTTACAGTGAAGGAGACATCTTGTGTCCAGCAGGAAAACTTTAGACATGAACAACATTTGTATATTTGTATAGAGATTATGGAAGGTTTAATGAGGTAGAGGGAGGAGAGGACTGTTTAAGGATTTTAATGTGGAAATTATACTGTTTTGTGGAAGACACACATTGTTCGAAACAGACTATTTGTCTTTTTTTTTGCCTTAATTCATGTCTCGAGGGGATCTTTAAAGTCCAGTCCTGGTAGAGCTTATTGGTTCTTCTCTGGAAGCAAGAAAACTTACTGACATCTGTAATATGTAGTATGTAATGCCTGAAAATCCAGCCCAAAAACATACTGCAACAACAAACAACAGGCCTGTCATGCGGTTCACCTTATCAGTCTAGACGGCTGGTGCAGTAATAACTCATAACTTATAACTTAATAACTTTATCTTGTTTAAACAATCTTGTTTGTTTATCTAATTTTCCACAAGCCCAAGACTTTTATTCAGGTTGAAACAGCACATTTAACAGCGTGTAAGGCCCGTCGGGTGGCCACGTAGGACAGGGAGGGCTGGACAGAGAGAATGTTTTGTAGACAAAGCCGGGACTATGGACAAAGGGCAAAAAGTTCTTTGTGACATAATATGAGCTCTGTCACACTGAAAAATCTTCATCAGGGTTCCCACGTGTCCTGGAAAAGCTGGAAAAGCTGAACATTTAGATGACTTGTTTTCCAGTCATGGAAACACCTGGAAATTTATAAAAATGACCAAATCATTTGGAAATAATCTGTATTGCCCTAGAAATGTTTGTGCATTAGTCCCTCGCTCTGTTCGCTTATGTAAACCTAAATGCATATTTTTTTGACACTTCAAAGCAGATTTACCAGATGCAATGCTTGCAATTGCAGCTATCTTTTAGGCATCGAGTGTATTTTTGTATTTTTTTGCAAGCAGCTCATTTCTTGTTGTGGTCGATAAATACATGCACAGGGATGTTAATTGTATGTGCAATGAACAATTTCACTTTCTAGAAGATGAATTCTACTTGATTTGAACTGTTACTTATGGGCTGTGGCTAAATTAATGCACACACAATGCCTGAAACTGCAGTTTATATTACAGTTTGTAAGCAAGTGCTGTCCTGTACTGTCAAGAAAAACTCCTGGGAAATGTCCTGGAAAGGTCCTTTAATGTTAAATGAATTATCTTATATGAATAATAAACCCTAGGAACACCTTTCACTTTTTCGAGTTGATACATGTATCAAACATTTCGAGACTTTTTGCACAAAAAAATAGGGTGTAGGTTTCTCCTTGACACCCCGTTATAGTACATGCATGTTGGACAGCTAGTGCCGCCTGCACCACCAAACTTCTCTTCAGTCATCACAAATAAGTTTACGTTAATAAAGAATTATTCATTGTAATGCACTTCAATGCAGCATCCCACTTGTATGTAGGTGTAGGCTATGTAAGCCCAACATGCCATGTTACACATATATTTGTCATTCTTCTTGGGCAAGTAGCAGACGTACCACTCTCAGTTAAGGTTCAATTCACTGTGAGTGAGTGAGTGAGAGTCGAAATGAGTTAATTTAAAAAGAGTCACTAAAAAAAGATTTGTTCTTTTATTTTTGCCGATCACTATCACTGAGGACAAAGTTGTTCAAAGATTGTTGTGTTTTTCTTCTTTGAGAAAGTTTTACATCTTCTGGTCTTTAGGCTAGCCTAGGCCTGGACTAATCTCTCAACTGAATGCACACTGATGAAATTAAAATTGATCAATATTCACTTGGGTTAATTTGGCAAAGAAAGATTTCCCCAAATTTTTCTTTTTAGCAATATTGATCCTTATGATCCTCACTGCTTTTTAGCATCTTTTGGAGTGTTGGATTTAAACAGGAGGGAGCTGTTTTTGCTTTGGTCCCTCCAACCATTACGATAATGTCACAACAGCCGAGTTGCTCGCTCTGTGTTTGTGCTGGATGTGTTTCCCTCAAGGCTCATCTCATCCACCAGAGACCACCACACCAAGAGAAGAGCAACCAGCCACCGCCTTATTCAGATGATTTCATCCGAGGGAAAGGCCCTCAATATTTAATTGAAACCCACGTCTGTGTGTGTGTGTGTGTGTGACATCACTTATTTGCGGATTCGGAGATGGAGCGTTGCATGGTGTCCATTAAAAGTGTACGTGGAAGCATTGGAAAGAGTTGCATGCCAGTGGATGGATGCGTACGGTCTTCTCTACTATGCAGAGTGAAGACATTGTTATTTTAGGCGCCGATCTTTCAAAGAGAATGCTGCAATGCGGCCGTCGGATACTCTTGAAGCATGAATAATTGAGAGGAACCCCGGAGTTTAAAGAATTTATGAAATGGAGGCAGAGCAGTGTTTGTTTAAGGCAGCGGCTTTATAGAGATGGCTGTTTGGGGTGAGACTGACAGGATACAGCGCCGTTGATATGACTGTTTCAGGCTAAGGGAGCAAATGCATTTCGTATTTTTACTGTGTGTGTGCGGCTGCTTGGACAGACATCGGATGCCCTGAAGAAACAAAATGAAGCCCCGCCCTGGAATCTGAAGCTGTTATTATTACCATTTCACAGCTATGAATAGAAGTCGTGTTTATTGTTCCCATTCAACAACATATGGAAGTTTTTGCTGCCTATTCAGCATGTTATAGTGAATTATTGATAGTGGATTTTAGTACCAATAGGTCAAAGTGTAGCCTATAGACAAACCCTCTTGTCTAACTG